ACTGTACCATTATTGATACCACTTGCTCCTAGAAATGTGACAACACTGCATTAACAGGTGATTAGCATCAAAATTTCTGACAGTATGGTGTGGATTTAATTGCTGCAAATTTTTATTGGAGACCAATCAAAAAGTGCATTACTTTCATAAGTGTGTTGGAATGAGAGTTTGGAAGAACAAGTTTGGAGATCTGCAGGTTTGGATTAACTGGTTGTTTTCATAAATAAAATAACTGTACCATTATTGATACCACTTGCTCCTAGAAATGTGACAACACTGCATTAACAGGTGATGTGATTATGATATTCAATGTAGCATTAACATTTTTTCAGTCATATCGCTACAATATCTGCAGTGTGAAAGTCTATAGTGACGTCTAGCACTAGGGCATCATGCCGCATAAATGTTGCATGATGTCCCACCCAGTCACATTATCCCGACACCAGGCCGACAAGTCCTAACACTAACCTCTTAATGCTGAGCATCAAGAGATTTAACTGATACTGTTCCAGTTGCTGCTTTTTTACCAGTCAAGTCTGGAATAGCACTCAATAAATTTGATCAAATGTCATGTAAGAAATGGGAAGGCAAGTAAGCCACATGCATTTGTCTTGCTGTGCACCAGTTATCTTACCCTAGAATTTGTCAAGTTGACAGATTTTTTTGTTATGTCATCTTTCAATAGCACTGCATATGCTGCAACATGAAAACAACTCTTCATACTGTGCAATGTTTTGCATAAAAGTTTTTTTTCAAGCTTGCTTTTTATTTAACTAAACATTCAAAGATTTTAATATCAAGCGTGATACAATAAATTCTGCAATAATGACCTTCCTCTAGGTTGTGGATGGATGAACAACATGGTCTCTTCTGTTGTAGTTCGGTTAAGGCAAGCTAGAAACTCTTTTTGCATGTGGTGCATACAGGATAGTCAATGCACTTCTCTAGATTTGTCAAGGAACCTTGCCAAACCGAGTCTGGTACACATTTTATCCTTCTGATTACATTTCCAAAAACCATGACATGTCTTATCCACTTGGGTTCCCTTTCCCTAGTACTAGACATCTTATCCCCTTGGGTCATATTTTCCTAGTACAGACACAACCTACCCCTTGGGTTACCCTTTCCTAGTACATACATATGTTATCCCCTTGGGTTACATTTCTTTAGTACCAGACACATCTTAACCCATTGGGTTATATTTCCATAGAACAGGCACATCGCATCCTCTTGGGTTATCCTTTCCTAGTACAGACAACTTATTCCCTTGGGTTACATTTCCCTAGTACCAGACACATCTTAACACATAGGGTTATATTTCCATAGAACAGGCACATCATATCCGCTTGGGTTATCCTTTCCTAGTACAGACACAACTTATTCCCTTGGGTTATATTTCCCTAGTACCTGTAACATATATTATCTCCTCAGTTAAGTTTCCCTAGTGTCTGTCCACATATCTCATCTTCTTAGGTTTCATTTCCCTAACAACAGACATCATTCTGGTAATTTCTCTAATCTATTGAAAACAATGGGGAAGTTTTCAAAGCATATCTTTTATTCCAAGATAAAAAGATTATGTACAAATATGAAAGATACAGATGACAATGACAAAGACAGACGTTCTCATAATTTTGTTTATTTTCACTAAAATATCATCCAGACTAATTAAAAGATGCACATAACATTTCTGTAATGGAATGCTTATTATGGCCATAATGTACATGATGAGAGGGCAGGGTGCCATATGGATTATCATGTACATTTGGTCTTTAACATTGCTTCATTAACCTCTATTTTTCACTTGCAGTACAAATATGATCTTTACTGCTCTGGTAGACTGCATAAAAATGCCTTTTATATTGTGCCCTCTTCTGTAGTTGAAGGCCCCAATAGGCAACCAGCACCCTACCCTTGCATTTGTTCTGGGGGCCAACACTTTCCCATTAAGCTATTTTCAAAACTGGCCAATGACAATTAAAAAATATAAATAAGATGGTTGTTGTTTTGGTTCTCTCCTATTGCTAAATAAACGTGAAGAATTAAGACTATAAGACATTGTGATGACCATGACAAATGGAAAAATGATGTTTTATATGAATGCTCCAAGGTAAAAAAAAAAAAAAGAATGAGGATTGTATGAATGCCCTGAGGTAAAAAATGAATGAGTATGAAGGCTGCTAGCTAAATATAGCAAAACCTGTTTCCACCATCTAAAGGACTGATTTAGTTATTTCCAGCAATGAAAAAGCACCTTTTTTCGTACCTTAATGCTAGGAATATCTGTACCCCACCCCTATTTAGATAATACAATTGTTACAAATATATTCCACTGTACTTTAGATTTTGAATACATATATTAACAATCTTTGCTTGTATTACACTACATTACAATATCAGAAGTTTCAGTACCTCTTACACCCACCCAACCCCGATCTTTGCATACATGTTATAACACTAATCAGTACTTATGAAAGAATTGGTTGCAGAGGAAATGATAACTAAGTGTCTCTGAGGGACAGTTAAGGAAGCTGACCCTGCTAGGATGCTATTTGCGAATTGACCAATGAAAGATACATAGAACTATGAAGAGCCTTATATCAGTATCAGGTTCACAACAATGTCATGAAATTAGGAAATTACATTTATCAACTTTTTCTTAAGGCATTTATGTCTAAAGATAGCTGATAACAAGATATATTTATATACTCCTAAATTATACATCTAGAGTACTACAATAGTCAACCATCAGGAAAGTAAAAAGCAAACCTGAATTAAAGTATTCTTATAAACTGGACCAAAATTGTAATTTTCATAGTACATGTAATTCATAAAAATGATCTAAAAGTCTATTCTAATGTTTAACACAAAGCAATCTCAACCAGCTACTTCATTCTACATTGGTTTGATACAAGAGTATATTATTATTCCACTTTATCATTCTGTTACATTATCAAAGTCAACCTAGTCTTAAACGAAGTTTTTCAAAAACATTTTTACATACTCGACTTGCTCTATGGTCCTACATTAATGTCAACCAGTATTAATGATAAATCTATCATAACAGATCAATCTGGGCTATTTTTAATACCTGTGTGTTATTGATATACTTTCAGTAAAATTATTGTGTTACTTATAATTGCTAACAAATGGTGAAATAATAACAATAACAACAGATCATTGTAAATCTTTCTGCAATATAGGAAGTGAAATGGAAAAATCCTAACCTCTTATGACTTCATTATGAAACAGGAATGACTGTGTGTGTGTGATAATATATAAAAACATAAAATTATTTATTCTCTAATAGTCAACATATCTTAAACATATCTTAGCATAACCTGCCTGCACTTTTGGTTGACAATATATTGCCAAAAATTCAATATCAGGATATTACTGATATCACAACCAGGAATACATGAAATTAAATCCTGGAGTAGTTTAATTTACTGCTCAGTTTAATAACTATATTTAACATTCTGCATAAAAAGAAGTAAATTGGATTATTGGATATGTCATACTTTAATGCAGACTGATTTTAAAGCATGTGCAATCACATATCAAAGGAATAAAATAAGGCTTTTGAATTTTATCTTAAAAAAAGCATATAATAAAAATGACTCCAAGATGAAATAGAAGAGGGATCTTGAACTAAAATCACCACAAGGGCCACATGAGGCTACATTTATGAAAAATAATTTGCATTATAACTATTTTACAAATTCTGGATGTCATTGTGGGCTACAGGAGATAACACAGGCTGCATGTTTGAGAGCCCTGAAAAAGAACAAATTAAATATAAATAGAAGAAAATAATTGCCATTTAGGTAAAGAAATAAATACAGGATGGATGTCAATGAGAGCATGAGTGTGGAAATTATAGGCACATGTCACTGGAGGTCCCCCCCCCATCAACAGCTACCTTCAGACACAGGAGGCTACTTTTAAGACAAGATAACTAAACAGCCAAAATAGGCATTACATGTTCCATGCTGGCAGCACGATGAAATCAGAAAGAGGTAATGTGTGGATTCAGTTAAGCTATGGAGATGAACCCTACTTGCCTATAAAGAATAACAAAATGGTAATCCAAAAATGATTGTTCTAGACCTGGTACATGCACTTTTGAATTCTCAGACACACATTAATCATATTGCTGTGATGTCTGCAGTGTGACAGATTATGATGTCTAGCACTGGGGCATCATGCCTCAGACATGATGTCCCACCCAGTCACATTATCCTGACACCAGGCCGACCAGTCCTAACACTAACCAGGCGGGCTGATAGTACCATATTTTAAAGTCTTTGGTATGACCTGGCCGGGGTTTGAACCTGTGACCTCCTGCATTCGAGGCAGTACCCCTAGGCCCACCGGAGTGGTTTGTATAATAATGTAGGTTAACACTATATCATGGCATAAAAGAATGGAGGTATATTTGATAGTGGACAGTTCAACTCATTAAACATCTATCGATAAAACAATGAGCTGTGTAGTTGTCTTTGTGCATCTGAGAGCAAAATAAGAACAGCCTGATAATAGGCAATTGATGCATACTGATGATAAAAGTATTTCCATTTAACCACTGAAAGCGATCTGTTGAGACAATGAAAATAAATGCTGTACCACATAATCTAATATCCATCTGCCCTATAATAATGACCTTTGACTCATTCAGCCCTCACTCCATGTACACTTTGGAATCCATTTCAAAGTATGATGCATATAACTGCATTTCAGTTTTGTCTTCTCCAAAAACCTGTTTACATTGACCATTGCCAAATTGACCTCCAAATCCAAAGTGATACTACGTACATTTCTTTCTTATATCTGATATTACTCCCAACAGCAACAGCAGATACATGACCGATAAAAACCCCATTAGCCATTGACTCTATATAAAATTATAACAGCTTCTCTATGATCACCCTTACTACCCCAAAACAAACCTATATGGATGAATGACAAACATACACTGTAACTATTATGTCTCCATTCATCACTCCAGTGGCCTAGTAGTTAATGCATCTGCCTCAGATGCATGAGGTTGTGGGTTCGATCCCTAGTTGAGTCATACCAAAGACTTACAAAAATGTTACTAACAGCTGCCTCGCTTGGCACTCAGCATTAAGAGATTAGTGTTAGGATTGGTTGGCCTTGTGTTGGGATAATGTGACTGGATGGGAACATCATGACACATGTCTGCGGCATGATGCCTCCCAGTGCAGTGCTGGACATCACTATAAACTGCCACACTGTAGACATCGTAGTGATATGATTGAAAAAATTTTGAAGTTAATTAAAACTCCAAATAACATACATTCATTGCTGTCAAAATAAGATGTACAAAACAAATTAACAACAAAGTGATGACTGTTTTATAACTGGAACAAATGATGACTTATAACTGGAACAAATTCTAACAAAATGAAATTATATAATAATAATAAAATAGACAGTTTTATTTCCCTGAAAAAGTTGCAAGTACCAGTAACAAACTAGTGGCATAAAATAAAAATATTCAGTTATTCCATGAAGGTGATGATCACAAGACACATTTTCATCACTTTTATTACATTAATTGCTGTCAAAACAAATTAAGGAATGTTCCATTTTAACATCTACAGTAATCGAGGGCATTTTTAAAAAAATACATGCCATATTACTTGGATTACGCAGAGAAAATTATAAAAATTCTAAATTGTATCTATGGGTGACTACTCCAACCCTAATGATACAGTGACTGTTTTTATAATTGGAACAAATTCTAATGAAATGAAATCACATAATAATTAAAATTAGGACTACAGCTTTTTTTAAATTATAGTCATCAGTAGTCTTGCATGCCCCCCTCATAGACATCAGTAGTCTTGCATGCCCCCCCATAGACTTCAGTAATCTTGCATGTCCCCCCTAGGACTTCAGTAATCCTTCCCCCCCCTAGACATCAGTAGTCTTGCATGCCTCCCCATAGACTTCAGTAGTCTTGCATGCCCCTCCTAGACATCAGTAGTCTTGCATGCCCCCCCATAGACTTCAGTAGTCTTGCATGCCCCCCCCTAGACATCAGTAGTCTTGCATGCCCCCCATAGACTTCAGTAGTCTTGCATGCCCTCCCCTAGACATCAGTAGTCTTGCATGCCCCCCCCCATAGACTTCAGTAGTCTTGCATGCCCCCCTAGACATCAGTAGTCTTGCATACCCCCCCATGACATCAGTAGTCTTGCATGCCCCCCCCGACATCAGTAGTCTTGCATGTTCCCCCCATAGACTTCATTAGTCTTGCATGCCCCCCCATAGACTTCAGTAGTCTTGCATGCCCCCCCTAGACATCAGTCTTGCATGCCCCCCATAGACTTCAGTAGTCTTGCATGCCCCCCTAGACATCAGTAGTCCTGACTTCCCCCCTCCTAGACATCAGTAGTATGTCATGCCCCTCCCTAGACATCAGTAGTCTTGCATGTCCCCCCATAGACTTCAGTAGTCTTGCATGCCCCCCCAGACATCAGTAGTCTTGCATGCCCCCCCCCCCTAGACATCAGTAGTCTTGCATGCAACTCCAATCTTACAATCAGTCTTTGCAATCTTTCAGCATCCATGTGATTTCTTGAATGTGTGATGTTTTCCACTGTGGAATCTTATTCTTTGTCAAGGTTTCACATGATGCAGTATTTCCTTTTCTCTCACTTGTGCATCAGAAACCCCCCAAACTTTTAATTTGATCCCAACCCCCATTTTGACTCAAAAATTTTTTTCATTTTACTCAACATGACCCCCATTTCTGATACCAGGCTGAAGGGATTTTAGACTCTCAACATTGCAACCTTGGGAATACAATGCTTTCTGTTTAAATTTTGTCTGGATTTTTGTTTATTTTTGCCAGTGTGTTCACTTGAATCGTCATGTCTATGGCAAAGAAATCAGTATCAATCATTCCTCCTTTGCAGCATTCACAAATGGCACTATGGAAGCACATGCACAAACTAAAAATGTTTAAGTTCAAAATGGTAATAGAAAGGAGCGGAAGTTACCTCAATACGTTATATGAATTTGATTCACATTTTCATTGATAATATTAAAATTTGGACATATGATTATCTTTAATAAATATTTTAGGATATACCGACTATACAATTATTTCAGGATGATCCTGATATATGCCATATCTGTGATTAGAAAAATGGGGAAAGATAGTCTCAATATAGCTCCCAGGGCAATCAACAAAGATCAACTGATTCATTTTGTTTATTTTTATAAATCAATCATTGAGCAATTCCAACATAATGACTCATCTGTATCAAATTACAGGTGAGAAAAAAAAGGTGTGTGTGTGTGAAAATCCTTACAGGGTGCATGCTGGCTGAAACACTGACACCATGAATGATATTGCACAATTGCTGAAATTTGTTCAACTCACATTCTCCTTTTCAAATAACAAAAAGATTATCACAACATTTGGAATTCTAGTCAATCTTAAAACACACCATTCTATTTTCATACAAAATGTTCAAACATCATCAGATATGACTGTATATTCATATATACCTACTATATTCACTGAAATGAACATTTTTAATTACTCAGGATTTTGTTTAAGAAGGGAATAAATATGCTTGGAGAATTCATCTTTTTACATGTGTTAGGCTCTAGCAGCAAGATGGATCTCAACTTAAAATATCTTTAAATCCAGGAATATTCTGAAATTTGTATCAAATCTTCATGTAACAAAATTTTAAAAAATGCAGACATTTTCCAGACCATTAAATAAAAATTTCCAGACCAACTTAAGAACTGCAAATCTATATACCAAAACTTTCCCCAAACGTGAAAGAGCAGCCATGTTACCTGTTTCCTACCAAGACGGTTGTAATAATGAAGACTGACAACTTTTGCAGGACTTTTATTTAGTCATTTAAAATTTTTAGACATTTTTTTTTTTAGAATTCCAGACCTGAGAAGGAACTATGCACTAATCAGTGGTAATTCTTGTTCAGTTTATTATTCAGAAAGGCAAAATTTCGGAGTATATGCTAAAATGTTATAATATTTCAATGGTAAATTGGTTTACACAACCAGCAATAACTGCAGATCTATTTCATCTTAATTTACACATGGTTTTATTAATGGATTCAGAGACTCTCCAAATAGTTTCAAAGAAATCCAGCCAAAGCCATCATTGTAATATAACAAATGATAAAGCCATGAGAAGACAGCAAAGCTCACCTGGAGATATTAATTCTGACAAAAAAATGTGGTATTTTTCAACACTCAAGTTCATCAATACCAAATGATGGTGAAGACAAACTAACTGATTGATATGTTACAGTTTTTCTTTCTTTAAAATTGTGATTGACTTTCATCTCAGGAAGCATGCTCATATTCAGTTTGTTAAGTACAAACAACATGGTCATCACCCCCCCCCAGTGGTGTAACAATTACACTGTAGTGTAACACTTTTGATATTTTATTACTCCTCAAAATACACACACATATCTATTCTCACAACTGCACAAGCAGACATCTCAGAAACTGACCTCCCTGTAAATAAGTAAATAATCCCTGAAATATGAAAAGGTTACAGTGGCTTACTTTTGGTAGTGTGGAGTATTACTGCAAAGGATGCATGCATTTATTTATATTCATGATTGAGCAAGTGTTTTTTCATGACAGTACAAGAGGCACTCATTGAAAGTGATTAATCCTAATGAGTTAATGCTCAATGAAGCATCACAAACTGGTGTTAGTGGCAGATTATGGTGGTGTATTACACTGAAGGCATGCACCAATCTTTATGACTGTTGACTTGAACATAAAAGGTGCTCATTTGCCAATGCCACCTCCATAGTTGCCAATAATTATGACATCAGGGGTACAGCCATGTTTTCCATTGATTTTCAATAATTGCTAGTAGTGAGTAAATACAAATAGTAAGAAATTAAGTGGCTTAAGTCAGAAGCATCAAACTGGAAAATGATACAGATATTGGGTCATAGAATAACTCATAAGACGTCTTACTCCTTATCTCTTCATGCAATACCAATACACATATAAAGACCGGGTTTTTTCCAAAATCGTTATAGTGTTGGCCGTTTAATTTCATTCTTTTTCTTTTGATGATCATAATCTTCCATTACCTGAAATGAAAAAAAAAATAATACTCACATTATTTACCAATGAAATACAAAATAGATGAAAGAGGGATATTTATCAACTATCTTAAAATGTCTAGTGATTATAAAATCAAACAAAAAGTTTGCTGCAAACCACATATCCCCATGCTTTTCTCACTTAAAGCTTTGAGATATTTATGGACATTTAGGTCAAAACTACTAATGGAACACTAAGATTACATTATGAATCTTAGATGCTTTTGCGTGTGTGGTTGTGTGTGTGTGTATCACCATCATTATGATCAAATAGAAATTCTGAGGTTGACAATGGTCATCATCAGTTGTGGGTTATGGTGGTCTCACATGACTGATTATTCTATTATCAGTGACACACCTTTTGTTATCATTAAGAAAATATTCATTTTTTTTATTTTTCATGAATATAATAACAATGTGTGTAAATGAAGGCTTAAGAAAAGGATATACACCCCACATGCCTGTCTTGCACTAATGAACATATGACTGGTTGTCTGTTCTTTAATTTGTGGCTAGATAAGGTGTGGGACCTCACCAAAATATATTTTAGGAAGAAGGGATTTTCTTTCTCTGGGCTGTTTCAGGAAGCAGAAAAGCTCTTTTTTTTGGAGAAGAGAACTTCTAAATCACCAGGATATGGATCTTTCTCTAGGTCCAGAAGAAAGAAAACCTCTTCACTGGAGAAGAGTACGACTGGATCCCCACTCTGCTAGCCCTTGGCCCAGTGATGGCAGCAGGTGGGGCTCACCTTTTATTATGTACTCTTGAGAGAGTGATGTATGTAATGTGAAGTTGTTTGCATTTTAAACATGCATAGTGGAGAGAATGTTGGCATACCTATATGCTACTTTCATGTAATGTGGGTGAAATTTCTTTGGATATTGTACTTTTGGAAATTTTAAATGATTTTAGGACACTGCTAACTAAA